GGGGGGGGAAGAGAAGAGGTCAGTCAATGAGAAATGGACAATAAAAGTGATTGAGTTTCAACAGCAGTTCGCTCACCCCTGTGTGACGGTAAGGCAGATGAGGAGGAGCTCATTCAGCTGGACAGTCATTGCGGATCAACAGACGGAGGTCGACGGCGCTGCTCAGATAACGTGAGGAAAGGAGTGAAAAGCGCATACGCGTAAATTTCTCTTTCTATAAAAGTTGAGTGCTCCTTGAACATTTTCATGTCTTGTCATGTCGCAATCAGGAATTTCCAAGTAGGATTTTAAGTGATAGATCAATTGGGAAGTGGAAGGAAAAAGAAAAACTTTAAATCTGAAAAGTGAGCTGTGCGTTTTGTTTCAGCCTCTTCTTTTTTCCCCTTCTGAAACATTCACACAGACTGATGAAGTCATCACCGTGTCTCATGATAGGAGTGATGTGCAGAGATTAGTTTTACAACAGACATAGCTAGGTACGCCAAAAAGTGACATTCTGGTTTCATCTGCCCATAGCACCCTCCTCTACGTGTTTTGTTGTGTTTTCCACACGGCGACTCACCAACTTCGAGCATTACCTCCATGCGGTTAATGCCTCACTTCCTTATTTGTTTGATTTGTTGAATGAATTACTAAAAGTAAAACATCACAGCACCATTATTTTATGTCCACTAACTTTTATTCTTTAGATAAATCTGGCAAGTTTTAGATTTTCAACTTAGAAGTGTCAGTTTGTCAAAGGTAGATGTTACAGCAGTAAATGGTTTAGATTAATTTCTTTAACTTTTTTTCTAGTTTTCTAGTTGACTTTAAAGGCAGCAGAACCAACCTAAACCATCTACAAAGGTTTTACAGTGAAGTCATCCTGTTGACAAATTCCTCCACCCTGTCCACCGACCTTTCTAGGATTTGCAGATGTACGATTGCGTGACTTATCCAAAACTGGGGATTTCCTCTTACAGCCCAAACATTGCATTATTGGTTGCTTATCCTTTTAGGGGTATTCCAGTGAAGGGAATACCCCTAAAAAGAAATACAAGCCTTTCTTTTCAAAAAATTTCTTTTGAACACTGAAGCTTGCGGTATGCACCGTGACAAATATGAAAAAGTTCAAGTTGTGCGAAGACTTCACAAGCCATTCCCCTTCGCACCACAGTGCAGGATGGCTCAGCTTCACCATTGGATGGCAGCGTCTGACGGGAGCGTGGTTACACAACCTCGGGGGAAATCTGCAGCTCAAGAGTCATTCCAGCGTCTCCACCAACAAATGCACAGGAATGTGGTATCGATCCCGTACCTCCTGGTCAACACCGTTGCGTCAGCAGCTGCTCCATTTTGCACAACTTAATGACGCAAAGACCATTGAGCAGATATGCGTCCACCTGTACATTTATGTGTTTTAGCTGAAGTTTCTACGTGAAACAGTGTGCATTGGTCTGTCGATGCGTGTTGTCACAGCCTCATGGTTTATTCACTCTGCATCACCAACAACTAATCACAGCACTAACTCACTGTGGGGCCCTTGTTGTCACTGGTTGAAACGCCCCCACCCCCTTCCTCTCCAACCTCCTGCAGATTAATCTTACTGCCACTAATAGAAAGCAGCACTCTCATGTCTTGCTGTTATGCAAATCCATGTTTCTGTCACCAAAGCAAAACATCTTGCAGATGAGTTGCATTGTGGCACATTCATTAATTGACCATGGACACATGAACACGAATGACTGTCCCTGCTATTGGACAAACTGAAAGTTAAAGGGTGGAAATTAGTAGGAATTACGGTAAATGTCCTCACATCGTGTGTTCATTGCAGCTTTATTTGAGTCTTTCCCTGAACGTAAAATTTTTATTGCTTATTTTTCCCCACAATTTTGCTGTTCACAAACCCCCCAAATTATTTGGTGTCTTTACATCTCATCCCTTAAAGCATGCCAGCACAGCTTTATCTCTCATTTAAAAGTTGCCCTTACCTGCTTTGACGTTTGCCCACCTATCCTGTGGCTCTTCTTCTTTCACTCTTATCTCTTCTGCAGCCTTATCCTTTGTTCCCGCCGTAGTCTCCCGCCCCTCTTTGTGCCCCACGTGTTAAGTCGTTCTCTCCTCGCAGTTAGTTCTGAATAAATCCCCGCGTTCCTTCGGCAGACCACAGCTGCATCCGACGCCCCGATGCACGAGCCGCGGCTGGTCGTTTCACTGTTTGTGCAAACTCCCACCACCTCTCTGCACAGCCGTATCCATCTCCCCACTGAGCCCCGTGTGCATACATCCCTCCCTCTGTCTCCCAGTCTTCATCCCTCTTCCACTTTACTCTCCTCAGCATCACATTTGAGCTGCAGCTGCTCCTACACACTCAGTCATTTGCATTGAAATTCCATCTGAGGGCATTCCTAAGCATGACAATCTAAAATACTTCCATAAAAAAAATAATAATAAAAAAAAACATAATGTCAATAAAACCAACCCTACCATTTTTATTTTTATTTTTTTTTAGATCTCTACCTCAGCACTTTTCTCAAAATCACACTCTGTGTTTTACTTGTCCTCTGACCTTTGGTGGTGGATCCAAGTTCAAGAAGTCTAAATTCATGGAGTCTGTAAATAAAAGTTACATCAACAAAAAAAAGAGTAAAATGTGGATTATCATTTAGAATTACAACAAAAAAGGAAAATAATGGGAAACATCTTTAAATGCTTAAACAAAAATCTTTCGCGACACTTTACAGAAGCTTAATTTATGGATTTTAAAATATGAATTTCTGCCATGTGTTGCTTTCAGACACACAATTAATTATCTTCTGGTTGGGAAGCCATTATACGCAAATGGCTGATGAAACTTTTCTTGCATCACAAATGTTTCATTGACGATGAAAGAAATGACACACAGTCATAATTATCTGATGCATAAATTGTGATTTAAAACAAAAAAGAACAGAGAAACCACATAAAAATGACTGACGTAATCATGGATGTCTCCTGGTTGAATCGTTATCTTAAAAAAAAAAAAGAGTGATCAGACATGATCACAAATGCCTAAATCATAAAAAAATAACCTTAAACATCTGATGTTATCAGTTATGATACAAAAAAAAAGGATAGTTTTTTTTTTTTTCAATTTTGTTGCAATATTGTTTTGACCTTTTTAATTTAAACATTTGCTGCCACTGGAAATGGTTGAATCCAACAAACAGTCTTTATTTTTCTCTCTCTTGCCCTCTCCTCTGTTTCCCCCCCTCCTCTTCTCTCCTTCCCCCCTTTGGCAGCGAATCGCTGGCTACCTCCCTCTATCTCCCCTGACACCACCACTCCTCAGAGGCTCCTGAGCCCTCCGCTGTCTCATTCCCTCATCCCCTCGCCGTCCTCACCTCCAATGCATGTTCCCTTGCATCAGTGTCATTATCTGAATTAGAGGCCCCCCCCCCCCCCCCATCTTTGTCCTCACTTCTAGAAAGTACCCATGTGGCTTGAGAAGGGAGTTCTGCTGGTTGTTGTTTTTCTTTTTTTTTCCCCTCCTGTAACACATCTGCTTTTCTCCAGCCGAGTTCACATTTACTGTATGTCGTTGCCCGGATATTTCCGAAGAAGATCGCACACTTTCTGAAATTCTTAATGTTGATGATTGGGATTTATTCCATACGTAGGGGGTAATTTATCTCCAGCACACCTGATATTCATGAATCTTTATGAATTCCTTGCCCTCCCATAGCTTAGCATCATCTGTAATAACAGCCTGACCTTTTTGGGATGTAACCAGCTGAAGGTGCGGCATATGCAAAGAATCCCAACTACTTGGTGTTTTGTAGTTACTTCATGGATAATGTGATCCGACCGCGGGTGCTTGCACCTACCGCTCTCCTGCTGTTTCTGTCTGAGCTGATGCATGGATACCAACAAGACCTGTGCTTGTTCTTTTATCTGTCCTTTACAAAATTTGCATTGCAAAGCTGTCTTCTCATATTTTTTGTCTTTACACCGGATGACAAAGCACAGTGCAGCGAACAAAGTCTTATTTGCATTCTCCCGAGTTCACGACGTGGCTCCTGGAAGACGAAGAAGCAACAGATGGAGACGTTTGTGAAGCACCTGAAGGGGATTAAAAAAATGAATGTTTCACGCGTGAGTTATGGGTCTGGTGCACAATTATAGCCTCGGTGATGATGTCAGAATAACAAAGAGATTCAGTCAGCGTTCATGGGGGGACTATCTGCATTTCAGTCTCTACCTACGTCTGTCTGCTGCCCGGTTTGCATTCATTCCATTTCATTTGTCTCATTTGTTTGAAATTGCTGTTTACAGCTGTTTCCCTGCCCGACGGTTCCTCCGAGTTCGTTCTTGGCCGGATCGATTTACATGTTTTATTGTTTGTGGGTTCAGTTTGATTTTTGCCTGTTACCAAACGTCAATCTTCTGTTGGATGTTTATGCATTTGAGGGTTGCTTTTGTTTGTTTTGGGGAGGGGGAGGGGGGCTTCTCAGGTCCATTTAGCTTTGGACTCAGACTGGATCGCTCAGACTAAACAAACAGCCAAATATGTCTGCTGCATGTGTCTGGCTGTTTGATTACAATCGTTGTCCGTATATTTTATCTACTTTGGCAAGGCTCTCTGCCTAAGGTCCCGTTATCGTCTTTTTGGGCAGTTTTATTTTTGAAAACAAAAATTATTGTTTTTAACTGTTATTCTTTTGTCTTCATTAATTGTTTGGTGCTTTTTTTAGGCGTTTGTGCAGAATACCAGTTTCACATTATGCGCTGAAACTATATCAAAATAAACCATAAGTGTTAAAAATCTTTTGCGTTGTGTTTTATTCTAGCAATTTATTTTGCAAAATTTTAAATGTGGTTTAATCCAGCAGGAGCAGCTTGTGGCAAATGTTAATTCAGATTTTATTGCCTTCTTTTGACAATGGTATTAATGCATATTTTGATATTCTGCAGTTTCATTTTTTTTGCACCAAAACTAAATAACGTATTTCAGACATAAACTGTTGGTTTGTTGCACAATGACCATGATTATAGTTGCTGCAATTTTTTTATTTTTTTATTTTTTGCAATTTGTCCGTCCTCTTCTGTTTTGTGAATCCAATTGAACCGGGAGACATTAGTATAAGAACATGTAGCGTGAAACATAATTTGAAAATAAACTAAATAATGGCACGTGTGTGTGTGTGTGTGTGTGTGTGTGTGTTTGATTAATTTGACGTTTAATACACTAGTATTCATCTTTTACCTCCGTCTGGTCCAAACAATCCACACCTCCTTTTATTTTCCTACAATAAAAGCGGCGAGCTCGTGTTTTTCTGCAAGAAGTGGATCAAAGAAATGATCCGAAACAAATCAAAGGTAGCCCCCGCTCTGCGACTCTGTGATGAACAATCAGTGGCAGACAAAATAAATCCATGGAGCAATGCAGCACAGGTCCAGGAGCAGATTATGTTTGCTCTGGGTAAAATGAGCAGTTCTGATTTTATAAACCACTGAATTAACTATGCGTTTGATCAATTATTTATGACTTTATTCATTAAAAATGCACATTCAGGAACAATTAAGCAATGTGTCGATTCATTAGGATTTTGAACTCTGGGCTCTTTATTGTGAAATAAATGGCTGTGGTCCAGTAAATTGGTGCAATTTTAGATCTTTTGGATTCATGTCAGCTAAACAAAAATCAGCTTTTCTTTGCCTTGGATGCATATTTTTTTCTGTCTCCATGTTTATTGTCGATCAATGCGGACGGTTCAGCTTCACTAATCACAGACCAACAATAAGAGGTAGTATTAATTCCATGTTCATGTATGTCTTTTCTTTAAATATCGACCCCATAATTTTCTGATGCTTTAGATAAATGGGTTGAATTTACCTCGTTGTTTTCTAGTCACATCTGACAAACGGAACATGAAGTCGAACCTACGACTTTCCGGTCTAAAGACTCCTGCTCTTCCCACTGAACCACAGTCTCTTAAATCGCTTCACTTTTCCTAAGTGGAGGTAAAGCCCTTCCACTTAGGAGAGCAGCTGCTTTCATGTGACGACTGAAAATGTCACAGTGATGCCCATGAGAGGGGCAGGAATGCATCTCCCTTAACTGACTGTGATGGCTGCCATGTCTAGAAGGAACGTATGAATCAATACGGCGAAAGACGCGTCCTCTCCTGAGCCGTCCCTCCATGTGACCGCTCTGCTCTGTCTTCTTGTGGGGCAGGTGGAGTGTTTTCTGTTGTCTCTCGTCGGATGGGAAGAGCTTCGACTTGAAACTCTTGAGAGATTTCATTAGTCGCTTTGGTTGCCATGGTGATTTTATGTTTGGACGTTAACAAGATGGCACTGCGCATTTATGACACTGGTTAATATCAGAGTATCAACTATCTTCAGTAGTAATGCAATTGGATATATGTACTTCTGTAAAATGAGGCACTTATAATATTTTTCATATTTTTGTATTGTTCTTTTGTTGTTGTGATGTCATATTATTACCTTCAGTTTTGTGCTTTGGCTCTAAGTAATTAACAAACATCAGTTTGTGCTTAATCTATATTATAGCTAATCTTTGTGAATTGATTTAGTGAAATACATTCATTTTTCAATAATATCAACACTTGTATTTCTCAAGTGTACAGTTTTCTTAAAAAGCTTAAGCTGATCTTAAACACATCCCTCATCTTTACCTACCTGTCGAAAGTTTGGACGACGTTTGTCAGCCGTGGGACTTCTTGTGTTAGGATCGTTTATGAGTCTCCAAAGAACAATAAATTCACACAAGTATAATTAAAATCCATCTCATAGAGCGTGACACAACGTTCTGTTTGGGACCAGAGCAGAAACTGACTTTAGGATAAACTAACCGTGACGCTGGCGCATCAGGGATGCAAACGTTCTTGCTAAAAGAAACTCTCACAGGAATAAAACCACAATGGAAAATCAAAAGGGAAAACTGACTCAAACGGCCCCGAGAGCATTGTTGATTCATTAAAGTTCATATGGTCCATTTTTTAAAATTGTTATAAAGTTTTGCTTGATTGTTGTTGTTGTTTTTTTTTTTTTAATATAATTATTGCAAACAACTTTGTAATATTTTCTCAGTTTTCTATTCAGAAGAAACTCTATTCTACTCTCTGGTCTACTCTGTATGATTTATTTATTTTTCAGATACACCGCTGTGTGTAACTCAAAATTTTAAAAAAGGTTTTGTGTATGTGTGTGAACACACCTTCTATTATGGATTAATTGCAAACCCAGCAAGTGAAACTAAAACAGCAGCTCATGACTTAGGGGAAAACCCCATTGCAGGAATTTTCAAGCTGTA